TGTGTGTGGGTGCGTGTATGTGTGAGAAGTTGCAAAATGAATGCATGAATACATTTTAACGCAATTTGCCACAAAGAAAAATACTGCATCACCAATGAATGGTGATGCCCAAAAACTGGCGAACTAACTCAAAACGTTTATGCAAATGTATGCAATTGCCATTCGTACATACACACATACACTGTATATGTATATGCATGAATTTGAAATAGTAGTAGTAGTTTAGTTAGATATATTTGTTAATTTAAAAGATAAAAAAACTTTAATTTACCATGGACAGTTCTATTGAGATATACTATACCCAAGTCTTTGAAAAGTGGATCGACGCAATTTTCATACTTGCTCTGCTCTGCGTGGACAAAAATATGAGGGTGTGCACAGTTTGAAGAAAATCGGGAACGGTTTTTCAATTTAAGGGACTTCCTAGGATTTAACTGTTGACCTTTAGTGGAGAAGGTAAAAGGATTAGTGGGCCAATATAGTCCATTTTCGCAATCGGATAGTCCCTTCGTTCATTATGACACTTTTATTTTTTTTAATTTCGAACTTCTGTGAGCATGGTACGGAGAGGGGTTGACCGATATTGTCCAACACTAAAATCCGATAAATTCCATATTCACATCAAATCTGTGGTTGAGAGAAATATACCAAGTTACAAGGATATAAAATGAAAATTCTACTATATGGTGGAAGGTGGAAGGAATGGACCGATATTTAACATGTTACACATGATCTTCCTTTAGTAAAAATATTGGGATACGTGAAATTTGAAGAGAATCGGATGTTTATTTCGGTTTTATGATCTTTTTCTTATTCAAACTTTAACCATTTGTGTGGAAGGTACCGGAAGAGGTGGGTCGCTATATTTCATCTTCATAACAAATCTTCTGTTGATAAAAATATTGGCATGCACCAAATTTAAAGACAATCGATCTCTTATCTTATATTTTATAGGAGTTAAAATTATTCAAAATGTTAACCTTTAATGGGGGAGGTACATGAAGTGTAAGCCGATGTTGCCCATTTTTGCACCTGACTTAGAACTGATAAAAATATTAAGTTGTGCAAAGTTTGCATAAAATTGAATGATTGTATCATGTTCTATAAAATGAACTCGATTCAGGTTTGATTGTAGTATTATGATGTACTTAGTTTGGATCAAATCGGATACTCCCTTCGAGAGTTATCGTGCGCAACAGCCCCAAACACCACGATCTAGGGGTGTCCGTCCGTTCTTCCATCCGTCTGTCTGGCTGGTGCGCACGACAACTTTCGAAGGGAGTTTCTGATTTAATTCAAACTTGTTACATCGTACTCTTATTGTCAAACTTAGATCGAGTTCGGAGATGAGCAATATCGCAAACTCCTTCTGGTATCTCCCCCCAAAAAAGGTCAAAATGTTTACAGAAAATAATTTACCGCATAGAACACGAAAGGATAACCTAATTTTGTGTACACTTTTCAGATGCCAACATATAAAACCGTTCTAGGTCAGGTGCGAAAACGGACAATATCATGCAATGTATAAAGTACCTCTCTCACAAAGGGTTAAAACTTTAAATAACCATGAAACTCATAAAACGAAAAATGAGCGTCCGGGTTTTTTCAGTCTTAGAACATCCCAATATTTCTATCAACACAAGACACACTTCTTCTGGTACCTCCCCCACAACGGGTCAAAATTGTGAGTAATTATATATCTCAATATTCTTCTGATTCTCTTCAAATTTCAAACACCCCAATACTTTTATTGACACAAGCCCCGGCGTGAAGATATGACTATCCATCCACTCCTTGTAGGTCCTTATTTCAAACTAAGCACATCTCAATATTTCTATCAATATAAGGTCTGGTGTGAATATGGAATGAGTCGTATCAGACAACTTCTGCAAAACAACCCCCCCCCCCCCAAACGGGTCAAAATGTTGTATAATTATATCTCTCATAAAATGCAGATAAATCTTCCGATTCTCTTCAAATTTTACACATCCCAGTATTTTTATTAACACAAGATCTGTTGTGAATATGGTAGATATTGGCCCACTACTGGGCCACTCTGGTACTTCCCCCACAAAGGGTCAACAATTTGAATAACAAAGCGCTCATAAAGGCAAAATAAGCATTTGATTCTCCACAAATTTCACGAATTTCAAGATTTTTACTACATAAAGGTAAGGTGTGAAGATGCGACGTAAGTCCCCTATATATGGTACCTAGCGCATATTTTAAAATTTTACAAAACTTATCACATATGTTAAATAAAGTGAAGGAAGTAGTGGATATAGTCCAAATCTGGCACGTTGTAATAATTATATCTGATACGAAATGCCCAATATTGGCCAACTTCTTCGGAACCTTCCCCATAATGGCTCAACATTTTGAATAATCGGAATAACGGATGTCAAAGGGTATACATTATTCGGCAAATAAGACTCCTACTTTTTAACTTGTTAAATTCATATTATGGCTAATATATGGCAGGCACATCTGAACCGATTTACACCAAATTTGAAGAACTTGTTTCTAGGATGAATTCAATTGTAATTGCCAAAATTCAGTCCACTTGGGCGATATTAGCCATTTGGTGCACAATAAACCTATTATCGGATAAAGATATATATGGGAGCTATATCCTAATCTGAACCGATATCGATAAAATTTGGCGGAGGAATTTTCGAGCAGTATCTGACGGCCGGAAACAAATATCATTTTTCTGGAGTGCATATTACGCATGTGAGGGACTTAAACCCCCAAATCGGATGAAACATATGTATAGGAGCTATAGCTATATCTGAACCGATTTTCACCAAATTTGATGTACTTGCTTCTAGATTGAATTCGGTCGGATGTGTCAAAATTCAGGTCATTTGGACTTATATTGGCACAATTAACCCGAAATCGGTTGATGCTATATGTAAATCTGATCCTATTATCACCAATTTTAATAGCGTTCGTCCTTGGGCCAAACTAATATTGTTTGCAAAATTTTATATCAATCGAATAATAAATGCGATCTGCATTTTGTTTACAAAAATACGTAGACGGACAGACGGACTTACATGCATAAATCGACTCAGAAGGTGATTCTATAAAGATCATCAAAAGTACCTATGGAGCTATCTAACTTCCTTTGCCTGTTACAAACAAATGCACAAAGACATAATAGCCTTACCACTATGTGGGGTAGGGTATAAAAACTTCATGGAGTCTTTTGTTTTGAACAGAAAGAAAGGTGTTGATTTCAGTTTCCTTCAGAAAACTTCGCGGAGACCTTGTTTTTCTTAAGAAATCTTCGTGGAGACCTCAATAGAAATCTTTGGGGAAAGCTTGGTTTTGTACAGAAAACTTAGTGGAGACCTTAGTATTCTGCCAAAAAAATTAATTGAGATCTTGGTTTCCTCCAGAAAACCTCGTGGAGACCTTGGTTTCCTACACAAAACTTTGTGAAGATCCTGGTTTCCTTCACAAAACTTCGTGAAGACCTTTTTTCCGTTCCTATTTGCTCACATCATACTCCGGCACCCGTGTCTTCGTCTATCTTTGTCTAATCGGCAGACCGATAAAAGGTGGGTTGGCCCTGTTCCATTCATCCCTGCTTGAAATCAGCTCTTCTTGAGGGTTGAAGTTTCAGCTCTTAGAAAGTCTAGCAAGCTGACATGAACCTGTAGTTTACAATGTAGTACATTCTGCTCGAACAGCTTTATAGCCCTTGGAAATATATTTATATATTGGGGCTATAGCTATGTCTGAACCGATTTTCAACAAATTTGAAGTAGTAGGCTGAATTCGGTGGATGTATGAAAATATATCATATTTTTGGACGAATATTACACAAATGGCTCATATTAAAATTGAAACAGGACTCATATATTTATGGGAGCTAAATATAAATTTGGACCGATTATCGCAAATTTTAATAGGGGTTGTCTTTGATTTGTTGAAAATGTCATCTCAATTGGACAATAGATGTGACCTGCATTTGTACGTAACAGGGACAGACAGAGGGTTAGACGGACGGACATGCATTAATCGACTGAGGATGTCACTATGAGGATCATCAAAGGGTCTATTTCGTTTACATCTGCATGTTACAAAAAAATGCACAATGGCATAATAGCCTGATGATTTTAGCGACATTATTTATCGGAATTGTTTCAAATTTGGTATTTGAAGTTCGTAATGACTACTACAGCCTCAGACAGAAAATGAGCCATATAGGCCTCCATATAACGGTACCTCCCAATATTCGGTATTTTGATGATTTTAGCTACATTATTCACCGTTTATTTCAAGTTTCGAATTTGAATATGGTAATGACTTATGACAAACAATGCCCATGTAGGTCCACGTCGTATAGACACCAATGTGACGGCTATATTCGGTATTTTTAAAATTTTAAAAGATTTTTTAAGGATTTTATTTCCAAATTCGTTCCAAATGGTGGAGGGTATTCAAAGTTCGGCCCGGCCCTCCACCATAGTATGGAGGGTATATTAAGTTATTTTTGATCACCATAAAATTCTATGTTGATTTAGCAATGTCCATCCGTTGGTGCGTCTCTGGAAATCACTCTAGCTTCCGAATGAAATTTAGTAAGTTGATAAAAATTTACTCATTTGTGTATTATGTCTGCAGGACTTTTGGTATTGAAAGTGGACCATGTGGGTCCAAATCTTCGTATAGCCCCCATATACCGGTACCCCCCGATATTTGGTATTTTGATGATTTTAGCGACATTATTTACCAGAATTCATTCCAGCCGAACTTACAGCTTTTTTACTTGTTTTTATTAAAAGTGAATTTGGTAGCATGTAAAGATCAAAGCTTCTACTGAAAAGTCAAATCAAAGCAAGTATTTTAAAAATATTCGCAAGATTTTGGATATTTTTTTATTTTCGGTTACATATTCAAATGTTGTTATTACAGTATATGGAAGAAAATTTTTAAATCTTCCAATTTTAAAGTTATATGTTATTTGGTATTTTGATGATTAATTTTTCTAATATATTTTTCTTTGTGGCAAATATTGTCTCAAGTGTATTTTAAAATGTATTTAATTCTATATATTTTAAAAAGACTACAATCTAAGCTGGATGACTGATATTGGTTGTTAGGTTTCATTTATTTATTTGGTTGATGATGACTAATGCAGCGAAAGGGGGAGGGCGGGGTTGGAGTTATGTTCAGTTTATCGCAAAATTATAAACATAAATTAACATATCACCACATAATCCTAGGTTTTAATAGAACAACCAAAATTACGACGACGACGACGATTACGACGGTCATTAACACTCTCTAGATAGATACATAAATATATATGTATATAGATGCCGCAGCGTATATATGTGCATATTATTTGGAATTATTTGGAAATCGGCATACATGGCTTTTGGTAGTCTGTACATGTATGCCATGCCAGTTATTGTTTTTGTTCTTGTTAATGTTATTTTCTTTTCTTTTGTTAGTATATTAGACTAGCATTCTTCTAGATATTTATGTATATATGCATATATATAGATATATATTTATTTAATTTATTATTGTTGTTGGGGTTTATTTTTGGTTTTTTGGTTCAGAACTAGGTACGGATTAGGCATAAAACAAAAACATCTGAAAGAAAGAAATGTAATTAGCACTCACTCTCACCTGCACTTCCAAAGCATGATAAGCTATAATAAGACCTAAAAGAATCACAGTCGAAACCGATATTAATGTTTTAAGCGCCGTTGAATAAAAGGATGCCTGGAAGAGGAATAGAAAAAAAAGAGAGAGAGAGAAAAGACAAAAGTCAGTAATATATTTAGGAAATTTTACCAAATGTTACATTTAGAATTGTATATAATAATGTTAGTGTTGTTGTTGCTGTTGTTTTCCATGTTGTTCTATCAATCTTTATTTAATACTCATTTTGTATGAGTGTGCGTATGTTTAACCTGAACAAAGGTAATGAGGATTTAACCTTTATCTTCGGTATTATTCTGATTGCAATAAAATAAGATACGGGAACGTGAACATGAAAACGTGCACGTGTGTTAAAGTTATTCACATTTACACACCTGTGACCTTTGCCAAAAAGAGTTTTGAGCATGGCCGATAATCATTAGAATAAAATGGCCTGTTATTGTCGACAAAGCAAAAGCTTCGATGGAAAATTTTAAATATAACAGCTTGTTTTTTGAAAATATATATATATATATATTATATATATATATATATATATATATATATATATATATATATATATAATTTTTTTTTCACTCAAAACTTTTCGATTCAAATTTATTCGTTTTTAATTTAATTTTTTTATAAATTTGAAAGCTTTCGCCTACTTTGAAATTTCAGTATTTCCATAGGATTGGGCCAATATTTTTCATTTCGTATCGGGCCTAAGTCTGATATAAATTTTATAAATTTTTTAAATGTTATCTTTTCTTTAACAGTTTTGAAATATGCGTGAGGTACTAGATCTTTTGGATCAAAGCATTCCACTTCATTTAATGATGGTAAAAATATAAATTTATACAAAATCATAATCATATTTTGAAAGATATGTAAATCCATAAAATTTTTTAATCATAATTACTCTGTCAGAAGATATGGTCAATTTCATCCTCTAATTATTATCGATCTCTATCATCTTTTTAACAGATCTTGTGTGGATGGAAACATTGAGATGTACCAAGTCTTGAATGGAATCGGATGTTAATTTCGCTTTTTATGGATATTCAAAATTTTGAGCCTTTGTGGAGGAGATACCAGAAGTAGTGGACCGATACATACCATCTTCATAACAGATCTTTTGTTACTGGAAATAATGGGATGTGTGAAATATAAAGAGAACCTGATGCTTGTTTTGAATTTTATAATCGTTTTGGATATTCAAAACTTTGACCCTCTGTGGAGAAGGTACCAGAAGAAATGGCCCGATCTCTATCACCTTTATAACAGATCTTGTGTTGATAGAAATATTGAGATGTGGCAAGTCTGAATTTAAACGGATGTTAATTTCGCGTTATCTGACCTTCATGGATATTCAAAATTTTGACCCTTTGTGGGGGAGTTATAAGAAGGAGTCGACCGATATATTTCATTTTCACACCACACCTTGGGTCATCCAAAATATTGTGATGTGCGTAATCTGAAGACAATCGGACACTTGCATCACATTTTATAAAAGTTTTATTATTATATAATATTAACCCTTTGTGGGGGAGGTACTTGATGGAGTAGACCGATATTGTCCATTTTCACACCTCACCTAGCACTGACGCAAATATTAGGATTTGAAAACTTGGAGCAAAATCGGAATATCGTTTCTCTTTCCGCGCAAAAAAATATTTTTTGAAAATTTCGACCATTTGTGGGGGAAGTACCATTAAGAGAAGACCGATCAATTCCATCTTTACACCAGACCTTTGTTCAATAAAAATATTGGGATGTGTGAAATTTAAAGATAAGCGGACACTTACATAACATTTTATAAGAGTTGTAATTATTCAAAATGTTAACCCTTTGTGGGGGAGGTACTTGATGGAGTAGACCGATATTGTCCATTTTGGCACCTCACCTAGCATTGACGCAAATATTAGGATTTCCGAAGATGGAGCAAAATTGGATTAACCTTTCCCTTTCTGTGCAGTAAAATATTTTTGAAAATTTCGGCCTTTTGTGGGGAAGGTGGGCCGCTATTGTCCATCTTCGAACAAAATCTAAGTTTGACAATAATATTACGATGTACCAAGTGTGGATCAAATTGGATACTCCCTTCGAAAGTTATTGTGCACACCAGCCTGACAGACAGAGGGACGGACATCGCTAGATCGATTCCAAATGTCCTAAAACGGATTTGGCCCAAGGATATTTAACGTCTAAAACCGTTATTTCGATGAGGCACATCTTGGCCGTATCAATGATATATACCATCATCAGCATAACAAGTAAAAAAGAAGCGAAGTTTGGTCGGGCCGAATTGTTAATACCCTCCACCAATTCGAAGGAAATTTAAAATTTTAAAAAAAAATTCCGAAAAATACCACTTAAATGAAAACCGTCATATGTGGATTATACGAAGACGTGGACCTGCATACGAAATTTTTAGTCATAGGCTGTAGTGCCCATTACGAACTTCAAATACGAAATTTGTTACAATTCCGGTGAATAATGTCGCAAAAATCAGGAAAATACCGAGTATCGGGAGGTATCGTCATATGGGGCTATAGAAAGACGTGAACCAGCATATGTAGTACCCATAACGAACTTCAAATACCAAATTTTAAACAATTCCGATAAATAATGTCTCTAAAATCGTTAAAATACCTAATATCAGGATGTACCGTTATATGGGGACTATACGACGACGTGGACCTGCACAGACAATTTTCTGTCTTAGGTTGTAGCATCCATTAGGAGTACGAAATCTGAAACGATTCCGGAGAATAATGTTGCTGAAACCATCAAAATACCGAATATCGGGAGATACCGTTATATGGGGGCTATAGAAAGACGTGGACCTGCATATAAGAATTTTTGTCATAAGGTGTAGTACCCATAAAGATCTTCAAAAATACGAATTTGAAATGATTCCGGTAAATACTGTCGCTAAAATCATGAAAATACCGAATATCGGTAGGTACCGTAATATGGAGGTATACGAAATCTTGAAACTGTATACAAAAATGTTTGTCATGGGCTGTAGTGTCCATTACGAACTTCAAATACCAAATTTGAAACAATTCCGGTGAAAAATATCGCTAAAATCATCAAATACCGAATATCGGGGGGTACCGTTATATGGGTGCTACACGAAGAGGTGGACCTGCATACAACATTTTTTGTCATAGTCTGCAGTACCCGTTACGTACTTTAAATATGAAATTTGAAATAATTCCGGTAAATACTTTAGCTAAAATCATGAAAATACCGAATATCGGGAGGTACCGTTATATGGGGGCTATACGAAAACGTGGACAGACATGGCCCATTTACGAACTTAACCTGCCTACTCGTGCATGTGTGCAAAACAGACGGACAGACAGACGGACGGACATCGCTAGATCATCTTAGAATTTTACTCTGATCCAGAATATATATACTTTGTAGGGTCTGTTATGAATATTTCGAGGAGTTACAAACGGAATGACAAAGTTAGTATACCGTCCATAGAATGGTGGAGAATATAAACAGCAATGTGAGTCCACCTTGACTTATGATTTATAGTTAGGCCTTAGAAAAATATTCAACGTAGGTCAATTTTTTTGATAGCGTCATACATAACGATGCCTTATGATTTTAAGCTGTCCTCTGTAATTTTAAATTTCGGTTTTTTTTTTTTGGGTAGATCAACTAATATGCAAAAATATGCAGTATAGATATAGCCCACATATAATGAAAATTCTACGATTTTGGGATTGGACAACCGATTTGGACAGTTGTTTCGTGTGGGAGGGTATAACAAGTATGATATAAACGCCGGGTTTTCTCTGAGCTCTTATTTTATTTTTTATAAATCATTGTTTTTAGAGAATATTTCTCCAAGAATCTTAGCTTTTGATTGGAACACATATTTTATACCCTATATATATATATATATATACAATTTGATACGGTCAAAACGCGACTAGTCGAAATGACGGCTTTAAACCCTAGATCTCCTTGGACCAAATCCGTTTCAGAACATTTGGAGTAGATCTACCGATATCCGTCCGTCCGTCTGTCTGGCAGTTGCGCCCGATAACTCTCGAAGGGAGCATCCGATTTGGTCCAAACTGGGGACATTGTAATATTTTTGTCTAACTTATATCGAGTTCGGAGATTGGCAATATAATAAGATATAATAATAAGAGTCCGATTGTCTTCACATTTCACACGTCCCAATATTTATATTAACCCAAGTTCTGGTGTTAGATGGGTAAAATCGACAATTTAAAAAAAAAAAATATATTTTTTTTTTTCACAGAATGAGAAAGGATAATCCGATTTTGCTCCAACTTTGCATATCCTAATATTTGCGTCAGTGCTAGATAAGGTTTGAAAGTGGAGAATATCGGTCCACTGCACAAAGTACCTCCCCCACAAATGGTCAAAATTTTTAATATTAAAAAACTCTCATTAAATGTGATGTAAGAGATGGATTGTCTTCATATTTCACACATCCCAATATTTATCTTAACCCAAGGTCTGGTGTTAAGATGGGTAAAATCGGTTCACGCCTTCTGGTACCTCCCCCACAAAGGGTCGACATTTGCAAAAAATATTTTTTTTTCTTATTTTTTATTATTATTTTTTATTTATTATTATTATTATTTTTTTGAAATCCTAATAGTTGCGTCAGTTCTAGGTCTCGTGCCAAAATGCATAATATTGCCTCTCCTACAAAGGTTTAAAATTTTGAATAATTATAACTCTTAAAAATTATGATGTAAGAATCCGATTGTCTTCAAATTTCACATATCCTACTATTTTTATGAACCCAAGATCTGGTAGTAAGACGGAATACATCGGTCGGTCCACTCATCTGGTACCTCCCCAACGCTCAAAATTTTGAATATCCATGAAGTTTATAAAAAGCGAGATATACATCCGATTCCATTCCAGACATGGTACATCTAAAATATTTCCATCAACACAAGATCTGTTATAAAGATGGTAGAGATCGGATCATTTCTTTTGCTACCTGCCCCACACAGGGTTCAAAATTTTGAAAAACATAACGCTCAAAGGAAGCGAAATAAGCATCTAACTCTCTTCATATTTCACACATACAAACATTTTTGCTAACAAAAGATCTGTTGTGATGATGCTATATATCTACGAACCCCTTCTGATACCTCACCCACAAAGGGAAATTTTTTCAATATTTTTATTTGTCATAGAGTTTGAAAATTCATAATAGAAGGAAAAATATGTTAAAATAATCGAACATTGGCTGAGGGTATACATCTGTCGGCAAACCCGACCGATACTTGTTTTTACTTGTTTAAGAAGTCCTTTACTTTAGAAGATTAAATGTCTTCCCTGATATTTCCTTATGTCCGGGATTTCAAAAATCACAGAGCAATCCCGGTGCTCTATATTCACATGTTAAGTATACTGATTTTCCTCATTTCATTAAATCATGTGAAATTAAATTAAACATTATTGCCTTTCTTTTTTCTTTGAATAGTATCACAAAAATCTTTGCTAACAATTTAATTTTATTACATCTACTAACTTTTTCCATTAGTTTTTTTGGCATATACCTACCTACCTACATATATTATTTTCTTCTTTCAGATTAGATGTGAGTGTATGTGTGAGAGTGTTTGAAACTTACCTTTGTGTAAACACCAGCGCTGCTTAATTCATTCTCGATAACCATCACAACAATTCCAAACATGCCCATGACTAGAGCGTAATCACTGATACGTTTTCGCTTTTCGAATAAAGCTTTACGTTTCCCAAGTCGATAACCGACATTGGGTTTGTGTTTAGCGGAGTTTGTTGAGGGCTTCCGGGATGTATTACCGCCAGTTAAAGCACGTTCCTCCATATACCTGCAAAACAAATCGTCGGCATCGTCGTCATCGGTTCGTTGTCGGTTTGTTCATTCGCGCATAAAAACACATTTCCGTTTCCACATTAATGCGAACAGCCAGCATTCCACACGACCGCACACACGCACACACACACCATTTCGAATGGTTTGAGATGTGTAGGGTAAAGATGAAACAGCCACGAGAAAAGGAGAGAGGGAGAGGGAGAGAGAAAAAAAGAAACACATTTCATGTAATAAAATTTTAATTATTTTAATATTGCCTACATCCGCTAAATCGTATTAATGTGTAGTTGCAGCAACAGCAGCATTTGTCATTTTGCCATTTTCTTCCCATTGCAGATTGTTTTTTTTTCTTTTCTCCTACTCTAACCTGGCCTTAATTGTTTTACCTTGTTATGTTACGGCATTAAGGTTTTTTCCCTTTGATTAAGTTTCGTTTTGCTTAGGTTTTCACTTTTTTTTTTTGCTTTGATCATAAATTATTACTGCAGTTTTAAAAATTTTTGTAAAATAAACGAATTTCCACATCGCTGAAGACAATCAATTAAGAGAAAATAAAATATGTATTTGTCGGATACAGGAAAGGGATATAAGATTGGAAAAAGAGTATCATCAGATGCAGTCCCTTAAAAATTAATTTTCAACTTATCAGTTGGCAAATCTTTGTGTAAGGAAGTGTCAACCCTTGTTTAGATTAAGTTATAGCCTCCACATAATTAGCTTAAGGTAAGCCATAAAATATAGGCAAAAAGAAATTGGGGAAGAAATTACCAAGCATCAAGGCAGCTGTAGAAGAATACGAGAGAGCTAATAAAGTAAAATATGAAACTAGACTGACTTTCGAACTGTACCCGTGCAAAATAGCAAATACGAAACTCGGACAAATAACTTTGCCGAATCTTACAATATTCTCCTTAAAATCCCTCTTCCTAGAGCCATTTAAATACGAACAATAACTATGCGGAAATAATTCTCGAACCAAGCTATAAAATAGATGATATTGAGAAGACGTTCCAGAACAGATGACAGTAAAGGAAAAATTCTACAAAACACTCAGGACTTTGCACTGTGCAACACAAAAATAATTTTAAGAAAAACTTCGTGAATTAGAGCTAAACAAAAGAAACCATTTGGATCGAGGCTTCGCATAGTAACCCAATTCAATGGCCAAATCACTGCATTCGTCACCGAGTTCTGTTTCGTATAGAGAAACATTTTAATCGCTGCAAATTTTTACATCACCGCATTCGATCGTAATTTATTTTGTCTACTACTTTTTTAGCCATATGGTTACAGATACGGCTACAGATTTGATACGGTCAAAACGTGCCTCATCGTAATAACGGTTTTAGACCTAGGTCTCTTTGGACCAAATCCGTTTTAGGACATTTGGAGTCGATCTAGCGATGTCCGTCCGTCCGTCCGTCTGTCTGGCTGGTGCGCACGATAACTCTCGAAGGGAGTATCCGATTTGGTCCAAAGTGGGTACATCGTAATATTTTTGCCAAACTTAGATCGAGTTCGGAGATGGGAAATATCGGTCCACTCCTTTTGGCACCTCCCCCATAAAAGGTCGAAATTTTCAAAAAAAAGAAAGAAAAAAAACAAGTAAAAAAGCTGTAAGTTCGGCCGGGCCGAACTTTGAATACCATCCACCATTTGCTACAAACTTAACAACTTTCAAAAAAATTAAAAACTTTTGAAAATCTGTTAAAATCTTAAAAATACCTAATGTAGCCGTATATTAGAGTCTATACGACGATGTGGACCTGCATAGGCAACTTTTGTCACAAGCTATTACAATATTCAAATGCGAAACTTGAAAAAAAATCTGTTTATAATGCACAGGCAATTTTCTGTCATAGACTGTAATATCGAACTTCGCGAACTGCAAATGCGAAATTTGAAACAATTCCGGTAAATAATGTCGCTAAAATCATCAAAATACCGAAGATCGGGGGGTAACGTTATATGTGGGCTATACGAAGGCGTGGACCTGCACAGACAACTTTCTGTGATAGGCTGTAGCATCCAATATGAACTTCAAATGCAAAATGTGAAACAATTCCGGTAAATAATGCCGCTAAAATCATCAACATACCGAATATCGGGAGGTACCGTTATATGGGGGCTATACGAAGACGTCGACCTACATGACTCATTTTTTGTCTTAGGATGTAGTATTCATTACGAACTTCAAATACTAAGACTGAAACAATTCCGGTAAATAATGTCGCTGAAATGATCAAAATACCGAATATCGGGGGGTACCGTTACATGGGGGCTATACGAAGACGTGGATCTACATGGCCCATTTTCTCTCTTAAGCCGTAGCATCTAATATGAACTTTAAATATTAATTTTGAAACAATTCCAGTAAAAAATGTCGCTAGAATAATCAAAATACCGCGTATCGGGAGGTACCGTTATATGGGGGCTATACGAAGACGTAGACCTACATTTTCAATACCAAAAGTCCTGCAGACATAGTACACATTTGAGTAAAATTTTATCAACCTACTTCATTTCGTTCGGAAGCTAGAGTGATTTCCACACACGGACAGACGGATAGACTGACAGACGGACGGACATTGATAAATCGACATAGAATTTTATGCTGATCAAGAATATATATATTCTTTGTGGGGTCTAAAATGTATATTTCGAGGTGTTACAAACGGAATGACAAACTTAATAAACCCTCCTTTTATAATGGAGGGTATAAATAACATAGTTTCTGCACAAAAAGGGAAAGGATAATCCAATTTTGCAGATCCTAATATTTGCATCAGTGCTATTCAGGTGCGAAAATTAACAATATCGGCCCACTCCATCAAGTGCCTCTCCCACAAAGGGTCTAAATTTTGAATAATTATAACTTTTATAAAATATGATGTAAGAGTCCGATTGTCTTCAAATTTCACCTATCCTAATATTTTTATGAACGCAAGATTTGGTATTAAGACGGAATAATAATAATATTTTTCTCTGCATTAGATGAATCATGAAAATGTAATACTTCGGTTGACTATATCTGGTACATCTCGCACATGTTAACATTTTCTAAAATTTAACACATATCTCATGTAAATTGAAGGAATTTACCAATATAGTCCAAACCTGGCACATCGCAATATTTATATCATATTTATTTAGGTCCGATACGAAGTGGCCAATATTGACCCATTTTTTCAAAACGCTCTCCATAGCGGGTGAAGTGTTTGAATAATCTAAGTCAAAGTCAAAATATTTTTAAACAATCGACCATTGGCTGAGGGTATACATCATCAAAACCGACATTTTGGAAATATATCGTTATTCAATATTCACAAGATTTCAACTTCAAAACTGAAAATGACGGCGATATCGGGTGGAAACTGCAATTAAAGCTTTAAAATACCATAAGGCTATAGACAAATTTTGACCTGTAGAGGAAATATTCTGTCAGACCAGGTAGAATCTAGTAAAAAATGTGCCTAGAATTTTTAGGAGGTACAATTACATATGGGTTATAGAAAAACGTGGACCCCACATTGTCTAAGAAGGTAAAACTTATTACGACCTCTAAATACAGAATCTATGACAATTCGGGTCTTAATTCAAGTTTACTAAAAACTGTGAAATTTCTTTAAAACCTTTTCCATAGGTAGGTAGTCATATCTTGATTTTGAGATCTTTTTTTGTTTTGGCGACCGACCCGCATTTCCGGATCCCTGCATAGCCGGGTTCAGGACCCGGGATAGACGCAGGCCTACTTAACCGAAATGGACATTATAATTTGAAAGCAAATGAAAATATCTGATGTGATTATTTAAAACTGTTCGGGAGGTTTATCAAAATCATTGATTTTTGGACCCGGATTTTTAAAAGATCCCTTAAAAGTCGAACAAGACTCCACTGTGGAAGTCCTAAAAAAATATATGCCAAATTAGTATATATAGTATATATCTTCTTGATCAGCGTAAAATTCTAAGACGATTTAGTCATGTCCGTCTGTCTGTTGTAATCACGCTATCTTTCGAACATATTGAGATAGAAGGCTAAAATTTTGCACACATGTTTATTCTTCCAGTAGGCAGGTTTGGTTCGTTTTATTAAGTTTTAAATGGGCCATGTAGGTCCACGTTTTTTTATAGCCCCCATATAACGGTACCTCCCGATATTCGGTATTTTGATGATTTTAGCGACATTATTCACTAGAATTGTTTCAAATTTGGCATTTGAAGTTCGAAATGGATACTACAGCCTAAGACAGAAAATTGTCTGTGCAGGTCCACGTCTTCGTATAACCCCCATATAACTGTACCTCCCTATATTCGGTATTTTGAGGATTTTGGCTACATATTCCACGGAATTGTTTCAAATTTGGTATTTGAAATTCGTAATGAATACTATAGCCTATGACAAAAAATGGTCTGTGCAGGTCCACGTCTTCGTATAGGCCCCATATATCAGTACCTCCCTATATTCGGTATTTTGACGAGTTTAGGTACAATACCCACCGATATTTTTGATATGTCGTATTTAAACTTCGTAATGGATGCTACAGCCTAAGACAGAAAATTGTCTGGCTGGTCTAGGTCTTCACACAGCTCCGATATAACGGTACCTCCCTATATACGATATTTTGATGATTTAACATTATTCACCGTATATTTCAAGTTATCGAATTTGAATATGGTAATGGCTTATGACAAACAATGCCTTTGTAGGTCCACGTCGTATAGACCCCAATATAACGGCTATATTCGATATATTTAAAATTTAAATAGAATTTTTTAAGGATTTTATTTTTTGAAAATTTCCAAATTCATTCCAAATGGTGGAGGATATTCAAAGTTCGGCCCGGCCGAACTTACTGTTTTTTTACTTGTTTTTTTTTTTTTTTTTTGTATCGGAATTGATGAATAAATCTTCGTTAACAAAGAAAAATTGTAAGAACATATAAAGGATTTGTGAAGTTTCCTATCTCTATAACGACACTATAAATAGACATTT